ACTGCTGCTGCTGCTATCTGATTTTGTAAACTGAAATGACCATTTGACTGGGTCCCAGCCCAATTAGCCTCACCTAATTGTAGACCAAAAGGTGGCAGATGTCCTGACACACACCTGGGATATCTATTTTCTTTTTTTAAATATTTGATTTATTATTTTTCTTTTATGTGTATGAGTGTATTGCCTGCGTGGGTGTAAGTACACCCATGTTATGCAGTGCCTCCAGAGGTCAGAATAGGGCATCAGATCCTCTGAAACTAGAATTATGGATAGTTGTTAGCTACCATATGTGATAGAATGTGTGAAGAGTCATGAGCCTAATTAGGAAAGCAATATAACCATAAATCCCTTAAAGTGGCTAACTGGCCCTAAATTGGCAGCCTGGCCTTGCTCAAGCCTTATCAACTAGTAGATCCCTGGACTGAGGGAGACTTTATGCAGCCAACCTGTCTCATTTAGTGCCCTAAGATAGCTCGCCTGCCTGACAAAATAATCTTGGGAGAGAGACCCTCAATGGCACTAGACCCTGGCACCAAACAAATTCCTGCAGTTGCATTCAACAGAGTTCCTATTTAAGTCCAAACTGTTCCACCCTTCAATGTAGAGACCCTCATCCCAAGGAAGGGTTTATCAGCTCTTTGCTGTGTTCTCTGAATAAAGGAACACATTCCTTGCCTGTTGCTCTGGTTCTTATTTCTTAACTTTAAACTCCTTCCTTTTCTACACTCCTAAATCTAACAATGTGGGTGTTAGGGCTCAGACCTGGGTCCTCTGCAAAAGCAGTCAGTGCTTTTTAACCACTGAGCCATCTCTCCAGCCCCATGGATATCTACTTTCAAAACTATGTTGACTGAACTCAGGAAGGAATTTCCTGAGATAACATGGCCCATCATGAGAAGAAACATAGGGCCCAGGTGCTAGTCATAAAATAATGTAAAATTGACTATATACTCCTCATCTGTACTTCAGATTGGAACCCTAGAGTTTAAAAAGCCTTTGTTTCTCACTTGTGACCCTCATGCAGGAGTAATGAATAAATGAGAATTTCTGATTCTCTCTCAACTCTTTGCAGTTCAAAGAATTTTCCCATAACACACTAAGTGTGTTCACATAGCTCCTTAAAGTGTTGACTTGAAAGCCTGAAATTTAAATACAGGACTTTCTGAGCTAGGTGCAGTAGCAAGGCCCATAATCCCAACAATTGGGAGACAGAAAAAGGAAGATCAAGAGTTCAACGACAGTCCCAAGGAAACTGAGATACCTCCATTAAAAAGTTCCAGGAGGGATTAGAGAGATGGCTCAGCAGTTAAGAGCACCGACTGTTCTTACATTGGACTGGGGTTTGGTTCCCAGCACCCACATGGCAGCTAACAACAGTCTGTAACTCCAGTTCTAAGGGATTTGATATCCTTTTCTGACCTCTGTGGGCATTGCACAACACAGGTGTGCTTATATACATGCAAGCAATACACTCATACACATAAAATAAAAATAATAAATTATTTTTTAAAACAGTCCAGGAGCTGGGCATTATGATGCATGCTTTTAATCCCAGCACTTAGGAGGCAGAAGTAGGCAGATCTCTGAGTTTGAGGCCAGCTTGCTCTACCCAGGGAGGTCTACATAGGCCAACCAGGGCTACATAGTGAGATACTATCTTTTTTTTTTTTTTTTTTTTTTGGTCTTTTTGAGACAGGGTCTCCCTGTAGCCCCAGCTGGCCTGGAACTCACTGTGTAGACCAGGCTGGCCTTGAACTCACAGAGATCTGCCTGCCTCTGCCTCCCAAGTGCCGGGATTAAAGGCATGAGCCACCACGCCTGGCGAGATTCTATCTTTTTTTGTGTGTGTGGTCTTTTTGAGACAGGGTCTCCCTGTCTTTTAAGAAAAAGTTTCAGGGGACCTTCAATGTTGGACAGAGCGAAGGGCTGTAACTGAGGCAGGTGGAAGTCACTGCCCATTCTGTCCATTGCCAAGACCTGTGGTAACCAGCCTGAGCCTGAACACAACAGAAGAATGTGAAAAGGGCAGAGCAACTCAGTTGGAAAGTGCTGAAATGATAGGTTTTCTGTGACTATCCACAAGCAGGAATTGGGGCAAGCAGAAGCAGAAAAGGAAAATGAGGAAAAACTCAAGTAGCTTTGCAACTTTGTGTCCAATCCTCTTTGCCTATGGCCTAGACACAGTCCCACCATGATCAGTTCTGAGTTTGCACTACATTCCCTTTGTGCTGAGCCAGCACAGGGTCTCTGCTGTGCTTCCTTCCCCTCAGATAGCCTGTCTTCTCTGGGCTCTGCTAGGGATGAAGGTGATACTCTCCCAATGGTCTTTATTCCTGTTGGGTACACCCCCAAAGTATTAAAAGTAGTTTATTAACTGATTTTTTGTGTGTTTTGGTTTGGTTTTTTAAAATATTTTATTTATTATCTTTATTTTATCTGTATGCATGTACGCCTGCATGTAGGTAAGTGCAATGCCCATAGAGAACAGAAGAGACTGTTGGAGCCCCTGGAACTGGAGTCACGGACAGTTGTTAGCTGCCAAGTGGGTGCTGGGATTCAAACCCAGGTCTTCTGCAAGAACAGTCGGTGTTCTTAACTGGTGAGCCATCTCTCCAGCTCCTTAACTGTTTTTCTGTTTGTTTGTTTGTTTGTTTGTTAGTTTTTAAGTTTGGTCGAGCAGAGCATGGAAGGGGGTGGAATTCACTCAGGAAGTTGATGCAGGAAGGTTAGACAGCCCAAGACCGGTGAAACCTGGGCTTAGAATCAAGACATGGTCTCAAAAGGAAAGAAAAAAAAAAGGTCCTGGGAAGGTAGGTATGCTTCCAAAAAAGAATGCTGTAATGCACTCCTAACACAATTGTTGGAGTTAAAACCGTCTCAGCAATGAAGTGTGTTTTACTCAGATAGAGTGCATAAGAGTTTGGAAAATGAACTATGCTTTTGTGGAGGATGACAGATCTCTAGGAATAGTCAAATAAGTAAGCTCTGACCAGAAGCCTTTTTTTTTTTTTTTTTTGGTCTTTTTGAGACAGGGTTTCCCTGCAGCCCCAGCTGTCCTGGAACTCACTGTGTAGACCAGGCTGGCCTTGAACTCACAGAGATCCACCTGCCTCTGCCTCCCAAGTGCTGGGATTAAAGGCATGCACCACCACGCCCTGCTAGAAGCCATTTTTAACCACTTTGCCTATTGGAACATTTTCAGAATTAGGCTGCTAACTTACTAACAATTCTAGTCTCTTCTCATTCTCCTACGATTACTGAAAAAAAATCCATTAAAATTATGTTTTGAGGGCCAGCAGGATGGCTCAGTGGGTTAGGGTACTTGCCACCAAACCTGTTAACCTAAGTTCAATCCCCCAAATCTACATGATGAAAGGAAAAAAATCAGCTCCCCACAAATTGTCATCTGACCTCCATACTTGTGCTGTGGCATGTACTTGCAACACACACAATAATAAATATGAAAATTAAAAAAATAAAATTATAGGTTTTTGTTTTTGTTTTGTTTTATTGAGACAGGCTCTCACTATGTCCTGGCTAGCCTAGAATTCACTACGTAAATCAGGCTGGCCTCAAACTCACAGAGATCCACCCTCCCAAGTGCTGAGATTAAAGGTATGAATCACTATGCCTGGCCCAAAATTGTGGTTTTCAAGTGACATAATACTAATGTGATTATCAGACTTCCCAACAAGTCCACAACTGCAAGATATAACTTGACACAGTGAGATTGACTGGCAGATCAGTACATCAGTAGCAAATTGTTTTTTTAAAGCTCTCCATGATTCTGCAAGCTTCTTCTGATTCATATTTTAGTATTCCTAGCTGTTCTGTTTGAAAGACTATGAGGCTGTGACCAGAGCATATATAAAAATAAAATTCTAAATGGACTAGAATTGAGATCCCAGAAATAAATCTATGTATTTACTGCCAACTGATTTTTGGAAAAGGTGCCAAGAACGTACATCAGAGAAAGGACAATCTTTTCAGTACATGGTGCTGGCAAAAATAGATACCCATAAGCAGAAGAATGAAACTAGACCCCCATCTCTCACCAAATACAAAAATCAACTGGACATGGGTGAAAGGCAACCTGGCATGGTAGTGCATGCCTGTAACCCCAGCACTTGGAAGGCAGAAGGAAGATCACTACAAGTTCAAGATCATCAGGTCTATATAGTGAGTTCCAGCCTAGCCAGAGCTACATAATGAGACCTTATCTCAAAAAATAAAAATAAGAAGCCAAGAAATGGAAACAAACTAAATGCTCATCAATGGATGATTGAGGTATGATGTATATCTACACAGTATAATACCATGCAGCAATAAAAAGGATTGAAACTTTGGGCTGAGGGCATTGCTCAATGATACAGCATATGCTTCTCATGCTCGAGGCCCTGGGTTCAGTCCCCAGCACTGAAAAGCTGATCTCATAGAAACAGTAGAATAATGGTTACCAGAGGCTGGGAAGAGCGGGGAGTAGAAAAAGAGAATTGTTTGATTAGTACAAAAAGTAAAGTAAGAAGACTAATTTCCAAAACTTCTTTAAAGATCCTGGTATTATTTCTAAAATATTGCTTGCACGGGACTTTTTTTGTGTGTGTGTGTATTGCCTGCATGTATGTGAGTGCACCCGTGTCGTGCAATGCCTGCGGAGGTCAGAAGAGGCTGTCGGATACCCTGGGACTGGAGTTATGGACCATTGTTAGCTGCCACGGGGGTGCTGGGATTCGAACCTGGTGCTGGTCTTCTATCCAGTGTTCTTAACCGCTGAGCCATCTCTCCAGCCCCCGACTTTTTTTTTTTTTAAACCTTACTAAGCTAAGCCAATATGCCACCAGCCTCTCCTTTACAGAAAAGACCCTATGCTGGAATGGACAGCTTTCCTGTACCCAAGAGCTGCACCTGGGCCAAATATCTTCAGAGCGAGTGGGCGGAGTCGGCCGTGCCTGCACAACTGCAAGAACTACCATTCCCAGCGGTCCCGGCAGCGGCGCGCCGGCTTCAATGCGCCTGCGTAATGATGGACCCTGGGGTCTGTGCAGTTCCCGCCAATTCTTGTGGCGTTCCTCGTTGGGTCAAGTTCTGTACTTCATGGAGTCGTTTGATCCCGCCGAGCTGCCGGAGCTGCTCAAGCTTTATTACCGAAGACTCTTCCCCTACGCCCAGTACTATCGCTGGCTCAACTACGGCGGAGGTGACCGGGCTGGGAACCGGGTGGGCACTGGGTTGGGTGTGGTGTGTGAGATGTGGCGGGGTGCCCTTAGATGGCCGTATAGTGCCCTCTGTGTCGGACATGGTGTTGGGGGCCTTCCTGCACTCCATCCGCCCCACCGCCTCTGAGGGACGAAAGGAGAGCGGTGGTAACGAGCCTGCGGCCACAGGGATTTAAAAAACCCCAGCGACAAGCGGGTGGGAGCAGCGGGGCGATCTGCAGGGTCCGAGGAGCGGCCGCCGGGAAAAGGGAGGCACAGACTTCCTCAGATGACTCTGTGAGTGCCCAAGGTGAGAGGCTGGCGGCAGTACGTGTTTACAGTATTTATGCCTACTTTTCATTTTTCGCTTGCAAATGTGGTCTAGTAGACCCCTTCAAATTACAGACTAGGACCTGTCTTATGTTTTCACAAAGGGACATATAGCAGGACATTTTGACTCACACCTGTAATCCTAACATTCAGGAGGCTGAAGCAGGAGGATTTTCATGAGTTTGAGGCTAACCTGGGCTACATAGTGAATTCTAGGTCTACACGTGGTTTTAAAAAAAGAAATCGTCCGATTAGCTAAAGTTATAAAGCCCTAAGTTGAATCAAGTACCAAATTAAAATATATACTTATTTTGCAGTGATAAAGAATTACTTTCAACATCGTGAATTTTCATTCACATTGAAAGATGATATTTATATTCGCTACCAGTCCTTCAACAACCAGAGTGATCTGGAAAAGGAGATGCAGAAAATGAATCCATATAAGATTGATATAGGCGCCGTATATTCTCACAGAGTAAGGAATCTTTTATGTATTTTATTGTTTTGTGAGACAGTGGGTTGGTGTTGCCAGAGTTTTGAAGTTAAAGTTTTATAGATTATTATAATTGAAGATACACAGTTTTTGTACGTAGGAAATCACTTGGGTGTTAATTCCTTTCAATCTCACTAGCTAAAATTGAGATTTGGGCTGGGGATATAGCTCAATTGATAGACTTCTTGTTTGGCATGCATGAACCTTTGGGTTCCAAACAGACTTTGAGAACTTTAATAGTTTGCCCCAGGTCATACAACTTGCAATGATAGAGCAGGACTTGAACCCAACTTTTATTTAATTTTTATTTATTTATTTATTTATTTTAATTTTATGTGTATGAGTGTACTATCTGCATGTATGTGTGTGCACCCATGTCGTGCAATGCCGAGGAGATCAGAAGAGGTCATCGGATTCCCCTGGAACTGCAGTTAAGGACAATTCGTAGCCGCCACGTGGGTGCTGGGAATCGAATCCGAGTCCTCTGCAAGAGCAGTCAGTGCTCTTAACCACTGAGCCATCTCTCCAGCCCCTATTTATCTACTTTTAATTTATTTGTCAGAGTCTTGTGTATCCTAGGCTGGCTATGTAACAAAACATGACCTTGAACTTTTGATCTTTCCTTTTTTATTTTTTTTTCCCTATGGTCTTTTTGAGACAGGGTCTCCCTGTAGCCCCAGCTGTCTTGGAACTTACTATGTAGACCAGGCTGGCCTTGAACTCACAGAGATCCGTCTGCCTCTGCCTCCCGAGTGCTGGGATTAAAGGCGGGCGCCACAAGGCCTGGCAATCTTCCTGTCTTTATAGCCCCATTTCCATCTCCAGTTTATGGAACACATAAACCAGGCATGTTGGTGCATGCCTGTAATCCCAGCATTCAGGAGGTGATGAAAGGAAGATCAGAAGTCCAAGGTTATACATAGTTATATAGGAATTCGAGGCCAAAATTTTTTCTTTGCCAGGCATGGTGCCCCATGCATTTGATCCCAGCTCTGGGGAGGCAGAGGCAGACTGATTTCTGAGTTTGAGGTCAGCCTGGTCTCCATAGCAAGTTCTAGGTCAGCTGGGGCTACAGGGAGACCCTGTCTCAAAAAGACCAAAAAAATAAATAAAAAGAAACACATTTGTCGTGTGTATGTACAGTAGCAAGGAAAGGTTGCTATTTTTTTCTTCCACTCTCTCTTTTTGAGACAGGGTCTCCCTGCAGCCCCAGCTGGCCTGTAACTCACTATGTAGACCAGTCAGGCCTCAGTCTCACAGAAATCTGCCTGCCTTCGCCTCTTGAGTGCTTGGGATTAAAGACTTGTGCTACCTCGCCCAGTGAAAGAAAGGTTTTAAAGCACTGTGTAATAGGGCATTATTTGTATGGAGTTTTCCTTATCAGAAACCTAAAATAGATTTATTATTTCTGTCAACCAATGAATATTTATAATGAATATTCATTAAACCTTATTTTAAGTAAGTAAAAATTAAAACTCATTAATTCAGACTGTGTAGGATTCAAAGTAATAGACTCTAACATTATTATATAACTTGTGTTTGACTATTTTTTCCAAATTAGTAGAAAATAAGCCGACTCAGTAACAAGACAGCTCTTTTACAGACACTGATAGGTGTTTTGTACTTGTAGCCCAATCAACACAATACAGTGAAGCTGGGGGCTTTCCAGGCTCAGGAAAAAGAACTGGTCTTTGACATTGACATGACAGACTATGATGATGTGAGGAGATGCTGCAGGTGAGCCTCACATGCCTTTCTGTTAGGGTGGGTAGTAGCACTGGCAGTGAGTAATGATGACTGTGTTCCAGTTCTGCAGACATATGTTCTAAGTGCTGGACTCTCATGACGATGGCCATGCACATCATCGACCGAGCACTGAAGGGTAAGTATCAGCATATTTTTCCCTGAAACATATGAGGAAAATCAAAGAAAAAGCTTTAGAGGAAACATTTTTTTTAATATCTTATTTATTATTTTTATTTTATGTGTATGCATGTATTGCCTGCATGTAGGTGAGAGCATCCATGTCGTGCAATGCCCGTGGAGGACAGAAGAGGCTGTCAGATCCCCTGGAACTGGAGTTAGGGACAGTTGTTAGCTGCCATGTGGGTGCTGGGATTCAAACCCGGGTCTTCTGCAAGAACAGTCAGTGTTCTTAACCACTGAGCCATCTCTCCAGCCCATGGAAACATTTAATACAGCTGTTAACCCAGTATATTTTTCCTCTAGTACAGTCCTCTATGGAACAAGTCTGTGAGCTATTCTCCATGAGAGAAAAACGTAAAAGATAAAAAGATAATAATCTTACCTCAGTAAGTTACATATTCTAAAACAGAAAAGAATATAAGAAAATTCAGGACTACCTTTGTACTAAGTAACATGTGAAGGGAACTGTCAGGATATGGAATGGCAGGAGTGCACACAAGAAGGAGAGGTTCCAGGCATAGTGGTGCATGCCCTGTTCCTGGCACTCAGGAGGCAGAAGCAAGGCCAGCCTGATCTATATAGTGAGTTCCAAGCCAGCCAAGCACTACATAGTAAGACCCTGTCTCAAAAACCAGGGTAGGGAAAGCAATTGGATCAGAAAAAACTTCCCAGAAGAGGTGATTTTAAATATATATATTGAACCGAGCATCATGGCGTACACCTTTAATCCCAGCACTGGGGAGGCAGAGGCAGGTGGATCTCAAGTTCAAGGCCAGCCTGGTGTACATAGTGAGTTCCAGGCCAGCTGGAGTTGGATTTAATAGAAAATATCACGTTGTAAACAAGTCTGTTGATCCATTAACTTAACACAGCACAATCAGTTATAAAAGCTACAGACAAAATACTGATACCAAACACAGTACTTAGAGGCCTGCCAGGATCTGAAAAATCTTTCCCAGGAATAGGCAGCAGTAGCTTCAAACAGGCACAAAGAAAGGAACAGGCAGCATCCACTCAGGAAGGCTGGAGAGGATAAAAGGCAGGCATGGCAGAGCAGCACAGCTTGGGAAGGAGCCTGAAGGACAACCACGTGAAGGGTTGTATTTCCTCACGTTTTGAGAACCTCAGAGCACACAAGAGGTGATTATTGATATTGATGTATTGCAATTTTTTTTTTTTGGTCTTTTTGAGACTGTCTCCCTGTAGCTCCAGTTGGCCCGGAACTCACTCACTCACTATGTAGGCCAGACTGGTCTTGGACTCACAGAGATCCGTGTTCTTCTGCCTCCCAAGTGCTGAGATTAAAGGCTTGTGCCACTATGCCTGGCATATTATAAATATTTTAAACATGGACACAATGTTCCTATGCTGTTTTGTTTTGTTTTTTAATTTATATGTATGTGTATATATATCTGCCATGTGTGTGCAGGTATCTACAGAGACCAGAAGAGGGTATCTGATCCCTAGAGCTGAAGTTACAAGTAGTTGTGAGGTGTCTGATGTGGGCACTGCTAACTGAACTCAGGTTCACAAAAGAATAGCAAGTGCTCTTAACCCCTGAGCCATCTCTCTAGTTCCCTGGATTTTTCTTTTTTAAAAATATATTTTTATGGGGCTGGAGAGATGGCCCAGCGGTTAAGAACACTGTTCTTGCAAAAGACCCAGTTTGAATCCCAGCACCCACATGGCAGCTAACAACTGTCGAGTAACTCCAGTTCCAGGGGATCCGACAGCCTCTTCTGTCCTCCATGGGCATTGCACGACACGGGGCCATTACCTACATGCAGGCATAACACTCATACACATAAAATAAAAATAATAAATATTAAAAAGAAAAGAAAAGAAAAATCCTGGGCCAGGCACAGTGGTGCATGCCTTTAGTCCCAGCACTTGGGAGACAGAGGCAGGTGTATCTCTGTGAGTTCTAGGCCAGCCAGCTGGGATTATAGGGACACCCTGTCTCAAAAAGACCAAAAAAAAAAGAAAAAGTCTGCTGGGCATGGTGATGCACACCTTTAATCTCAGTATGCAGAGGCAGGGAGATTTCTGTGAGTTTGAGGCCAGCCTGGTCTACATGGCAAGTTCTAGGCCAGCTGTGGCTACAGAGAGACCTGTCTCAGTAAGACAAAAAAAGAAAAGAAAAATCCTTGACAGACAGATGAGGATGGTAAAAGCAAGCTACATGTAATTTAGTATGATTAAAATGGAAAGCTGAGGGCTGGGGAGATGGCTCAAAGGGTAAAGGGCTTGTGCAAGCATGAAGACCTGAGATTGGATCCTCAGCACACCTTTAATCCCAGTACTCAGGAGACAGAGGCAGGCAGATCTCTGTGGGGACATCCATATATCACACACATACACAAATTTAAAAATTAAAAATGGGAAAGCCAAGTCTAGTGGTACACTTGTAATCTCAGCACTTAGAAGGTAGAGGTAGGAGGATCAGGAGTTCATTATTTTTATTTTATGTGTATGAGTTTTATGTCTGCATGTGTGTAAGTGCACCCATGTCTGTGCAGTGCCCAAGAAGAGCAGAAGAAGGCATCAGATCCCCTGGAACTGGAGTTAAGGACAGTTGTTAGCCACCGGGTGCGTGCTAGGATTCAAACCCAGGTCCTCTGCAAGAACAGCCAGTGCTCTTAACACTGAGCCATCTCTCCAGCCCCAACTAAATGTTTTTTTAATCCCAGCACTGAAGAGGCAAAGGCAGACTAGTCCCTGTGAGTTCCAAGCCTGCCTGGTTCATTGTGAGTTTCAGATCAGCCAAGGTTACACAGTAAGAGCCTGTCTAAGAAAAGAAAAAGAAAACTAGAAGTTTATAGAATCATCTTAAAACCTGTTTTTTTCTCCCTCCAGAGGACTTTGGGTTTAAGCATCGACTCTGGGTATATTCTGGAAGGAGAGGTGTTCATTGTTGGGTCTGTGATGAATCAGTTAGAAAACTGTCCTCTGCAGTACGTTCTGGGATAGTTGAGTATTTGAGTCTTGTAAAGGTAAGGTTCTTTTTATTTTTATGTGTATGAGTGTATTGTCTGCATGTATGTGTAAGTGTATCCTCATGTTGCAATGCCCTTGGAGGTCAGAAGAGGCCGTTGGATTGCCCTGAAACTGTAATTAGAGATGATTGTTAGCCACCATGTGGGTGTTGGGAATTGAACCCAGATCCTCTGCAAGGGCAGGCAGTGCTCATAACCTCTGAGCCATTTCTCTAGCCCCAACGTAAGATTCTTTTAATTATAATTTACATTTCTTTATTAATAGAGGTTACCAAGCCTGGAACTTTTATAACACAGAAAATTGTCCTGTATAGCATTCATATTTTAGAGTAAGTGATCTTAGCAATGGTGGTGTAGAGTCATAATAGCCACACCTTAAATTTTTTATTTTATGTGTAAAAGTGTTTTGACTGCATGTATTTAAGTGCACCTATGTCATGCAATGCACACAGAGGCCAGAAGAGGGCATCGGATCTCTTGGAACTGGAGTTACCAATGGTTGTTAGCCACTATATGGGTACTAAGACCTGAATCCCAAATCCTCTGAAAGAGCAACCAGTACTCTTAACCTCAGAGCCATCTCTTCAGGCCCTAAAGTCATAGTAGGTACTTTAAAAAGATATTTCACCCCTCGGGGAACATTACAAAAGGGAATGGAAAAAACGTAAGAGCCAGAAAATGGGGAGATGTGTGGCAAAGGGATGTCTTCTGCACATGGCGTGGCCACTGCATTCATGAGCTTACTACAGCTGTGGTTATCTGCACAAGACCATCATGTGATTGGCCATCAACATTTCATCATGCGGGGGATGAGGTCCCACCCCTTCCTGAGGCATATCAGAGGCAGGGGTGTCATTTTGTCAGTAAGTAACCTCCCACCCACAGTGGGCCATACACACAAATGAAGACATGAACATGGGAAGAGGACTTATTGGGAAGGTTTTCAGTGGGAGGCAGGGGTATGACAGGAATCGGGGTGAAAACAGCCAAAATTCACTATATGAATATATGAAACTCAGACAAATTTTTTTAATTAAAAAAAAAAAGTGGGACCTGGAGAGATGGCTCAGCGGTTAAGAATACTGGTTGATCTTGAGAAGACCCGGGTTTGAATCCCAACACCCACATGGCACCTAACAACTGTCTGTAACTCCAGTCTAGGGCATTATACAGCCTCTTCTGTCCTCCTCGGGCATTGCATGACATGGGTTTGAATCCCAACACCCACGTGGCACCTAACAACTGTCTGTAACTCCAGTCTAGGGCATTATACAGCCTCTTCTGTCCTCCTCGGGCATTGCATGACATGGGTTTGAATCCCAACACCCACGTGGCACCTAACAACTGTCTGTAACTCCAGTCTAGGGCATTATACAGCCTCTTCTGTCCTCCTCGGGCATTGCATGACATGGGTGCACTTACCTACACAGAGGCAATACATGCATACACATAAAATTTCAAATTAAAAAAAAAAAAACTTTAAAGAAAAGAATAAAAATAATATGTAATAATAAATAATAATATATGTATATATATTTTTTTAAGTGTGGTGGCTCATGCCCATAATCCTAGTGCTTCGGGGACTGAGGCAGGAAGATTGCTGTGAATTCCAGGTCAGCCTAGGCTACAGAATGAGACCCTGTTTCAGAAACAAAGCATCAACCACAGAAGAGATGGTTCATATTTTGTGGCTAAGAATCTTCCTTTGTGGCAAAAGGAAAATTAATTTGCTTTTCTAGTTCAATTATGTCAAAGTTAACAGAAAGTTAGAGATATTGAGATTATAGAAAATAGCGTCCAAGCTTAGATACTCTGGCAGAATTTAGCTAATCTCTTTGAATTTATATAACTTTAAACAGAATAATAAGACACATTAAAGGAAGCGGGGTTGTTTGGTTTTGGTTTTGGTTTTGGTCTTTTTGAGACAGGGTCTCCCTGTAGCCCCAGCTGACCTGGAACATAAAGTTCTTTTGGTGGTTTATTTTTCAGGGTGGTCAAGATGTGAAAAAGAAAGTTCACCTAAGTGAAAAACTTCACCCTTTTATCAGGTCTGTTGGGAAAATCACCATGTAGTTATCTGATTTGCTTACATGTGCTTTTGGAATTACCATGCTATCAATTTTTACAGCTGGTAGCATTTTATAACAACAGTTGCAGTTAACTGCGTGTCTTTTTATGTTGTGTGTACTGGCCCTCACAAGTTCATGGGAGATGTGACAGTATTTCTGACTAAAGATGACAAAAGTGGGTTTTAGAGAGATATGATTTGTTTGACATTACACAGGTAGTTGTCAGCATTTAGCAACCACATTCTGGACTAATTCCAAAGCTCATTTTTCCATTGATGTACTACTTTAGGTTGGTGGAAAGGCCATTATATTAGGAGTAAAACTCCTTGTTTGGCTATGACCTTAAATGATGGAGTTGCCATCTCCCTATCTGAATAATAAGGACAGTATCTGTTCCCTTTTGTCTCCAGAGTTGTGGCCAAGATGATATGAAATGAGATGTGAGGATGTGAGCTGCAATCATTATACACATTATGATTTTTTTTTTATGTGTATGAATGTACTACATGCATGTAGGTAGGTGCACCTGTGTCATGCAATGCCCAGGAAGTGAGAAGAGTGTGTCAAATTCCCCTGGAACTGGAGTTACAGTTGTTAGCACCATGTGGGTGCTGGGAATCGAACCCAGGTCCTCTGTAAGAGCAGCCAGTGCTTTTAACCACTGAGCCATCTCTCCAACCCAGCATTTTCCCTTTCAAGTGTCTCATTTTAACTTGTAAACTGAAAAAAAGGATATTATTTCCTAGTTCTAGACATTCAGGAAAAAATAAACAGTGCCTCTCACCCAATAGCAATAGCACCTATGTGTCTTGTGTACTGTTAATGGCATTGAGACTTTGTTGTTGCTGTTGTTCCCACAGAAGATCTATAAACATAATTAAAAAATACTTTGAAGAGTATGCCTTAGTTGGTCAAGATATTCTGGAAAATAAAGAAAGCTGGGATAAGATTTTAGCCCTTGTTCCTGAGAATATCCTTTTCTAGATCATTGCTATGTGAGCTAGTTGTGCAAACCTGTGATGTTATAAACACATTTGCATGTTGTCATCTATGTATTTCTATGTATTCCTATAGGCTTAGTCTTTTTATTAACATGACTATCCTGCATTCCTACATTTTTTTTTTTTTATCTCCATGGGATATAATAAGAAATAGGGCTGTAAAGAATGGTGAACCAGGGCAGCTCATTTCTGAGTCCCTTTCCTGGGTGCAGAGAGCTGTTTCGATGTTTCTTTACTTTTTTTTTTTTTTTTTTTTTAATTTTTTGAAACAGGGTCTACCTGTAGCTACAGCTGGCCCAGAACTCACTAGACTGACTGCAGTCTCGCAGAGATCTGCCTGCGTCTGCCTCCTGAGTGCTAGGATTAAAGGTCTGTTATCCAGGACTGACTACAAGGGACTATCTTAAGGATTTAAGTGCTTAACATGTTTTGGAGACATTAATAGTTACTCTCTAAATATGTGTATGATTTAGATATTCTTATGATAATACATATTAAAAACTAAGTTATTTGTTGATGTGTCCCAAATGAGTATGTTCCTTAATGATGCATTACCAATTCATGATGAGCTCCAAAAAAACTTCCAGAAGCTTCACAATTCTCTTCAGCGCTGGGAGTATTTGAAGAAAATAGTCAACACATCTCAGGTATATATTCCACTGAAATCTGTATTTACCAATATCATAATACAGTCCTTTATTTATGATTGTTTTGCTTGGTCAGTTAAAGATGATTGAAGATCTTTTTTGTTGTTGTTTGAGACAAGGTCTCTCTGTAGTCCCAGCTGGCCTGGAACTCGCTATGTAGAGCAGGCTGGCCCCTTACAGAGATCCACCTGTCTCTGCCTCCTTAGTGCCGGATTAAATACATATACCACTACATTCAGCTGAAGATTTTTCTGTTTAACTTTTTTTTTTTTTTTAACTATTTTTATGTGTGTGAGTATATTGCCTGCATGTGGGGTAAGTGCACTCATCATGCAATGCCCACAGAGGTCAAAAGAGCACATGCCTTTAGTCCCAGCACTTGGGAGTCAGAGGCAGGCGGATCTCTGTGAGTTTAAGGCCAGCCTGGTCTACACAGAGTTCCAGGCCAGCTGGGACTACAGGGAGACCCTGTCTCAAAAACACTGGGTCGGGGGTAGGGCAGAGGGAGAGAGAAAAAGAGTCAGATCCCCTGGAACTGGAGTTGACAGTTTTTAGCTGTCACACAGGTGCTAGGAGTCAAACCTGGGACCTCTGTAAGAGTAGCCAGTGCTTTTAACCGCTGAGTCATCTCTTCAGCCCCCTGTTTAACCTTTAAAGCTCAGTACTGGGTATGGTGACACACACTTTTAATGCCAGCACTTGGGAGGCAGAGATAATTGAATTTCTATGAATTCAGGCCAGCCAGAGCTCCATAGTAAGATCTTGAAGGGGGGAGGGTACTCAAAAGTTTCTACTAATCCTCATGCTGGCCCTCAAATCTGCTTTTAGAATATGAAAAATGACAAATGTGGACCATGGCTGGAGTGGGAGATTATGCTCCAGTACTGTTTTCCACGCCTGGATATCAATGTTAGCAAAGGAATCAATCATTTACTGAAGAGCCCTTTTAGTGTTCATCCTAAAACAGGTACGATATAAAGAAAAGGGAAAAGAAAAGAAAAACTAGTTATTTTTTTGTGTTAACAAGGATGTTATTAGTGGTGAATACATGTCTGAAATTAAAGTTTGAAGAATTCATCTGTTAGCTAGTATCTAAATTTATTTTTATATTTTGGTCTTTTTGACAGGTTCTCTCTTGTAGCCCCAGCTGACCTGGAATTCACTATGTAGATCAAGCTGGTCTTGAACTCACAGAGATCCGCCTGCCTCTGCCTCCCAAGTACTGAGACTGAAGGCCTGCGCCACTACGCATGGCATCTAAATATTTTTTACCTGGGTAGTTAAATAGTTACCGGACCAGTTGCTGCTATATAAAAGTTTTCAGGGCTCTGGATGTAGCTCAGTTTGAAAAGTGCTTGCACAAAGCACACACAAAGCCAGGGATTCCATCCCCAGCACCCATGAACTGGATGTGGTGGCACATGCCTGTAATCCTAGTAACTCAGGAGATGGAGACAGGAGGATCAGAAGGCTAGCCAAAGCTACATGAGGAAGAAAAAATTGGGGGAGAGAGTCTGAATATGATCAAAATACATTGTTTGAAATTCTCAAAGTCAATAAAAATATTTTTTTTAACTATTGGAAAAAACAAACTGAAGCCAAGCACAGAGTTATAGGCCTGTAATCCCAGTACTCAGGCAGTAGAGGGAAAAGGATTAGAAATTTGGGAGGTGGAAGCAGGAGGATCAAGGTCATCCTTGGCTGTCTAGCTAGCTCAAGGCCATTTGGGGCTACATTAGACTGTCTCAAAAAGAAAAAAAAACAGGAGGAAAGCCCTCTATAATGTCTTTGCAGAGCATACATTTACTTAATGTATGTTTGTTTGTTTGTTTTGAGACAGGGACTCCCTGTATCCCCAAGTGGCCTGGAATTCATCAGGTTGTTGACCAGGTGGGCCTCAATTTCGGCTTCCCAAGTGCTGGGATTAAAGGCATGAGTTACCATGCCCAGCTAAGATTAATTTTTAAACTTAATTGAGTATCCTCTCATTCTGATGCTTAAGATTTAATAATTACATTCTTTCACTCTGCAGCTTAAACTGACCTTGAATTTGTGGCATTCATCCTTAGCCTCTTGAATACTGGCTGGGATTACACGCTTGCACCATCATGCCCAGTTTAGGAAGGACTGGAAATTGAACCTAGAGCTTAATGTGTGCTAGACAATCATTCCACCCACTGAGTTATATCACCAACCTTCAATTATATCATATTAAAAAATATTTTATTTTATATTGTATGAGTGTTTTGCCTGTCTGTAACTGCACCCATGTTTACAATGCCCATGGAAGCCAGAAGAGGGCATCAGATCCCTTGGAACTAGAGTTAACAGATGGTTGTTAGCCACTGTGTAGGTACTGGGAACTGAACCCAAGTCCTCTGCAAGAACAGCCAGTGCTCGTAACCACTGAGGCATTTCTCTAGCCCCCATTATACCATTTTTGAGATGTTTCACACTATATTGTCAGCCCCTAGATATGATGAATTTTGTGTATGGTCCCAGAGATAGGTATTATGAGATAATGTTTTCAAAGGCAGAAAAATGGCATGTAGCTTATTTCATTATTATGCAAACATCACAGTATGTTCTTTACATACACGTTGCTAGACAATATCATATAATACCACCATAGTATATGTAGCCCATCATTTGACCACCTGTCCTTGGGCACACAATTGTATATTTCCAAAATGCTTTCTAAAGATGTCCAGTATGAGGCTGGCAAGATGGCTCAGAAGGTAAAGGTGCTTGCCACCAAACCTGACAACCTGAGTTAAATCCCCAGGACCTGCATGGTAGAGGAAAGAACCAACTCCTAAAACTTGTACTCTGACCATTGTGTACATGCATACAGGCGTAGGTAGGTAGGTAGGTAGGTAGGTAGGTAGGTAGATAGATAGATAGATAGATAGATAGATAGATAGATGTGATAGATAGATAATTTTTTTTAATTTAAATAAACATATCTAACATGGTCAGATGTGGTGGTATATTCCTGTAATCCCAACACTCAGGAGGTCATGGTTCAAAGATACCTTAGGGTACACAGTGAGACCTTGGCTCAAAACAAACAAGATTGAGTATGATGGCTCCTACATATAATCCCAATACTCAGGAACAGAGATGAGAGGATTATTGGCAAGTGCAAAACCAGCCTGGTCTACACAGTAGTGAGTTCCAGGACAGACAGGGCTAGCTACATAGTGACACCCTCTCAAAAACACATCTGTAGTACATGCCTTTAATCCTGGCACTCGGGAGGCAGAAGCAAGCAGATCTCTGTGAGTTCCAGGCCAGCCAAGGCTATGTAGTGAGACCCTGTCTCAAAAAAGAAAAAGTAACCTTTGGTACTAAGGATTGGGCCTAGGACCTCATGCATGCAAAGCAAGGATTCTTATCACCCAGCTGTATCCCCAGGACCCCCTTTGTAAAATTTTCAAGATTTTATTTTATTTTACCTGTATGAGTGTTTTGCCTGCATGTTTGTAAGTACACCTGTGTCATGCAATGCCTGAGGAGGTCAGAAGAGGGCATTGGATTCCCTGGAACTGAAGTTAAGGATGGTTGTTAGCCACCATGTGGGTACTAGGAACCAAACCCAGGTCCTCTGCAACAGCAGCCAATACTTTTAACCACTGAGCTGTCTCTTCAGCCCCCTTTGTAAAATTTTAAGCAAGTCTTAATTCAGCACTCATGAGGCAGAAGTAGGCAGATCTTTGTGAATTGGAGACCAGCCTGGTCTACATAGCAACTTCTAGGCCAGCCAGGGCTACATAGTAAAACCCTTTCTCAAAAAAAAAACAAACCACATTTATAGTAATAATAATTCAGAGACAGAACAACCTGTGATGATTTGTATTTTATAGTCATCCACTGATAACTTTGGTTCTTACAGGTCGTATTTCTGTGCCTATTGATTTACTGAAAGTGGACCAGTTTGACCCATTTACTGTTCCAACCATAAGGTATGTTCCAGATCATTGATTGCTCCTTATTTGTTTGTAACTGTTCTTCCGTAATTTGAAATAGATTATATTAGATCCCATCTCAGAGAAGTAGCTGCACAGGAATGGTATATTTGGTTATGGAGATACTTAGTTCTAAAGTCAAGGGACTGGAGAGATGGCTCAGCGGTTAAGAGCACTGGCTACTCTTGCAGAGGGCCCAGGTTCACAATTCCCAGCACCCACATGGCAGCTAACAACCATTAGTAACTTCAGTTAAAATTTTTTTTTATTATTATTACTTTTTTTTTTTTAATTTTTTGTGTATGCGTGTATTGCCTGCATGTAGGTAAGTGCACCCTGTCATGCAATGCTCTCGGAAGACAGAAGAGGCTGTAGGATCCCCTGGAACTGGAGTTATGGACAGTTGTTAGCTGCCATGTAGGTGCTGGGATTCAAACCGGATCTTCTGCAAGAACAGCCAGTGTTCTTAACCACTGTGAGCCATCTCTCCAGCCCCCACCCCCCTCAAAATTTTGTGTGTGTGTGTGTGTGTGTGTGTGTGTGTGTGTGT